CCGTGGTGGTGGTGTGGGGCCCTTTATGAGTGGGAGAAGCATAGCCTACAACACCCAACATCGCTGAATGAGTTAAACAGTCTGTGACCCTAATTGGAAACAGTACATCGAGAAGAGATTCGACATAGTACGAGCGCGAAAGGCAGACTAAAGAAATAAGAAGGGCGGGCCAATTGTAGCGGTAAGAAGTTTAAAGTTGGGGTTAAAAAGGGAAACCGGGTGTTTTGAAAAAAAAAAAAAAAATTGGATCATTAATTTGTTTTATTTTTAAATTTCTCGAATATTTTTGGTTTTTCCAAATTTCCACGATACGATTCCAACAATTAATTGTTTCAAAGATTCTGCAGCATATACAGCACAAGACGTGAAATTTTTTTGAAATATTGATAAGCAACCAAATTTCAACAATTCTAAATGAACATAAAAACTTAGAGCTTACTTGAGACCTGGCTTTAATAGGGTGAAAAATCCATTGAGTATTTTTGTTCAAATTGTGATCTTTTTAAAAATGAACAATTTGAATAAATCGTTATGACAATTTATATAAATTTTTTTATTTGTAGCATTTTAATAATAACTATTTGATCTCGAACAACTTAGCAAACAACAACAGCTGAAATGGCTAAATTAACTAAATAATGAACAAAAGAATAAAATTCTCCTCGAATAAAAAAAATAAATAAAACTTAAGTTTTCCATAATGTTATTTTGTAATATGTGCATTTCAATAATTTTTTTAAACAAATTTTGTCTTGAATAAATGTTTTTTGAATTTGAAAAAATGAACACAGCTTTGCGAAGTAATTTTTAACTAATTTTTTTAATCAATATATTCGTATTCAATTTCTATCAATTTCTTCGTAAATTTTAAATTTATGATTTGTATGCTTTAGAATAGAATATTATATAAACAAACTTATTTTATTTTTATCGATATTTTATTTTGGTCGAGTTTGGTAGAAATGGCACAACTTTAAACAGTTAATGTTAAGTAAATTTTGACCAATATTTTCATCCGGTAAAATGAAATTTTAATAACAAGAAGTTATGAGAAAAAAGTTGTTTGTGAACTTTGAATTTATGTTTTATATGCTATCTTGAAATGACTTATTATATAAAACTGGATTAATTCTGAATATGTGTTTTAATGTTGACTGAATTAAATAATAAAAGGAACAGCTTTTTACAAATAATATTAAGTAATTTTTTTATTATAGGCAAGAAATAATAAAAAAAATTGTCCTGAATTTTAAATTTTATCTTACAAAAGTACTGTATATAAATAACTAAAATTAAAAGATCAATAACAGGAATGATGAAGTCAATTCAAATAAGGGATAATAATACAATATTAATTCATTGTGAATTTTAACAATTTTTGCATCGTACACAGGAAATTTATTTTGAGATTAAATGCTATTATAATTTTTTTATCGATTTGGATATGGTTCTTGAAAAATTACAAAATTGTTAATGAAAATAAGTATAAAAATGAACACGAGGTGAATTTCCTAGGACTACAGCACACCATTTTAATGTTTACAATTCTACGTGTTAAACATAAAACATAAAGGATACTTCGTCTGTATTCAGATATTTCTTAAACATAATGATATACAAATTTCATTAGATATTAAAGAAAAGGCTATATTTTTCTCGTAAATATTCCTGAGCTTATTTGAATTTTAAATGCATTTTAGCTTTTCAAATTGTATTATTTTTTTTTCTTGAATATTGAAATTTGCAAAACCAGCTACAGATTTAACAGGAAAATCAACTAAATCCTTACCTATGTGAATTGTAAAATTATTGTAATGAATTGTAAGATTATATATATAATAAAATCAACGATAAAAATCAACAGGCGGCTAATTTCCTAAAATATCCTGAGGCACATATTTTAAAAGCATACAATTCTACGAGTTAAACATAAAACATAAATACTTCGTTTGCATTCAGATTATTCTACAAAAGTGAGGAATAATCCAAAATTTTATTAAATATTAAAAAATATTTGTATGTAATTTTCTCCTCAACATTGTTGAGCTTATTTGAATTTTCTATTTATTCTACAATTTTATCTTTACAAACCTTTTTATTTTTTTCAAGTTTTACATTTTGCCAAAATTAATCAAGTATTGATAATAAAAAAAAACTCAGTACATTTTAACAATTTTGTAGTAGTAAGTAGCCTATTTTATTTTAAATGCGGTTTTTACAGTCTTTTGCTTTGGATTTATTTCATAATGCAAAAAATTACAAAATCCTTAATAAAAAGAATGATGAAAACTAATACTAGGCGAATTTCTTTGAATTTCCCAACGCAGTTGTACAGTTGTAAAATTTTATATTTTAAACAATAATCATAAAACGTACTTCGTTTGTATTCAAGTTTTTCTATAAAAGGGAGGAATTATTTAAAATTTAGTATTTAAAACGATAGGATATTATAGTAAATACGTGTTTGTATTTTTACCGAATTTGATTTATAAAATAGTACAGCTGTATAAAGAAAATTTAAGTAAATACATACCGAAATATTCATATGACAAAATTAAAACTCAATTGCAAGAATGGCAAAATTAATCAAGTAATGGAAAAAGAACTAATGTTCTTCCTGAATTTTAACTTTATATTTTATATACTGTCTTCCAATATTGTACAGAAATGAACAGATTTTATTTTGCATATATACTTTATTTTGATTGAATTTTATAAAATAGTTTTTATATTAAACAAATATTAAATTTGATGACATTAATGTATAAGTGTGAACAATTCTTCGTGAATGTAATTTAAAAACAAAATTCACAATATCGCACTGGCACTCTCAACACGACACGCAGAATGGCACAATCACACAGAAGACAAACACTTTGAGCCCTGAAGATGATCTCAATAAAGATCGAAACGTTGGCACGATAAAGAAAATGTTTTTCTGAAACCTACATCACACCAGACCGCATCTCACGATTTCTGAATAAAATTCACAACTTAAACATTTTATTTTATTTTTGACTTACCGTTAACGCAAACATTTTTAAGAGAACAACAAGTTTTAAGAGAAAATATAAATTCACTGGTTATAAAGATTAAAAATCAATACCAATTTTAATGAATTTTCATTGAACAAGCTTACGATTCTATATCTTAACCTTTTATAATATAAAACATAATTCATTAGAATTAACATTTTTTTAAAAATTTTGTGGAATTACATATAAATTTCATTAAATATGTTAAACAAATGTTCATATTGTTCACCTAATTTTTTACTGTGCTTATTTAGATTTTAAATATGCTTGACATAATGTTTCACAATTGTAGAATTTCAAACGGTGTTATTTTTTCTTGAATATGTGCTTTTAGTTTTGCTGAATTTGGCAAAAAAAATTCAGATTCGACAGAATATTTCACCTTTTTGAAATTGCATTGCTTCACACAAAATATTACATGTAATACAGTATCTATAAATATAAAATATATTAACAGGAATAGTGAATATTATGTTAATAATAATTTGTAAAAATGCGAAAAGAAAAACTGAGTGTTACTTAAAATGAACATAAATAAATAAATAAATGCATATATATTTTTAGATAATTCCTCCCTTTTATAGAAAAACCTGACTACAAATACAATATATGACCAATAATAAAATGCTTTTTTTTAAAATATTTCACGTTGTAAAATCAAAAATCTAACGCATCGTATCTTGTCATAAATTATTAATTTTCTTTATAAAAAATTACCAATTTTATAAAGAAACTTCAATGACTGGCAATAAACATTAAAAATTAAATAAAACAATAACAAATTTTATGAATTTTCACTCAAAGAATTGTACGTTTCCTTGTTCAAAGTGAAGGATTTTTGCATTTCTTCCAATTTTCCCCAAATATTTCAGTGAATATTAAAAATAACTGTAACAACAATAATTTTCCAATATTTCCCCTTTAAAAATATGAATAGCATGAATATATTTTGGCCTGGTCAGACACGGTTTTTATTTATACTTTTCAAAACGAAATATTAACCTTTAGATATCACTTGCATTTGATTAAATCATAAAAGTAGTTATTGCTAAAATATATTTTTTATTTTGTTCAAAATAAACCCAACGATCATTCTATTTCAATAAATTAAAATTATATTACGCTCTGACATTTATTGTTAGTATATGAAACTAATTTTTTTAAAATTTTCTTTATTTCCAAAGAGCTGTTAAACAAAGTTAATTTTGGCAAAGGTGCGAACACAACCTTCTTTTTCTTTTGAAATTTTGTTTTATTGGAAAATAAAGTCATGCCATTCTTAAACCAAACCCCCCATTTAAATAGAAATATCGTTTGAAAGCTAATCTTTTAAATGCTTAATTTTAATTTATACAACAAAAGCCTTGAACAGCAAGGATCTTCAGGTAGTTAAGCAGTAGTAAAACTGCAGTGCTTAACAATGTCACGTGGGCACAGCCCAAAGTTTTGCTTCCTTAATACGTTGACGAGTTAAATTTACATAGTAAAAAAGACTTAAACTGAAAGAAAGAAGAATAAATGGCGTCAGTAATGCGAATTCAGAGGTATTAAAAAAAATTATAATGATAGTTTTCGTGTTTACACATAACAATGCCTGGTTACATTGCAATGATTTTTAATAGGAGAACTGATTGTTCCTTTGCTTTACTAACAATCAACTTAAAATTGCAGAATGCTAATTGAATAATTTTAAAAATTGATTGATATCAGTTTTTTTATAGTTTAATTTCTAGTGGAACGAGATTCGATAAAAATGCAAAGTCTATTTGTTTATTTTGTTATATATTTTCAAAACCAAACTGAAATGTAACAACTAAAAAACCTGTTTACAAAGATAGTTAAAAAGTATAATTACATAAATAACACAGGAGCGATAAGTCTCGATAAACTCTTTGATCTCACCACTTCTTTTTCACAAATCCCGTATCACGTTCACGGTCTAGGCAATAGCAATAAATATAACAGGGTCGAGTTATTTATCAGTCGCATACAGGAAGGGAACTTAAGAGAGCTAACTCCAGAAGGCCAGGATCGTCGGATCGTGTATTTTATTGATTTAAAAATATAAGAGATTTAGGGGTTTTCCGTTCGAAATTATGGAAATATCAAATTCGAATTATGTTTCTGCTTTGAAAGCGACAAGTCTAGATCAAGGTAAATGAACATTTCGCAATTTCACTTCAACCTTTTAACGCCAGATATCAAGTCCGATTTAAACTTCAAAAAAAACTCCCTGGCTAAATAAATATGAAATCAAAAGTTTTTTTTAATGACTATCATAGGTTCTTATAGACCAACATGTTTAGTTATTTGAACCATATTTCTATACATATTTCTTGGCAAATTTTTTTATCATGATGCAAAGTTAATACTTAGTTTATCTCCATATTAAAAGCTGTTTTTTCCTAAATAATTTTCCCCGTTTTATTATATTTTTACTGATTTTTACTTATTTTACCACCAAATGGCTACGGACAATTAAATCTTAATCAAAAATATAAAAATTTTTGACTACAGCATTTAGTGGATTTAAACTGAGATTTGGCGGATCCAGAAACAAAAATTCAAATTTCTTTGCCTTTCACACATCTTTCTCATTGACTCTCTCATATTTTTACCTTATTTGCTGTTTACGTTTTGTAACTCTGTTTTTCTTACCAATTAATCGAATTTATTGTGATTTCTACTTCCATAAAGCTTTTATTAGATCATTTATTAGAAAAAAATTAGAAATAATTGCCACGGTTAATGTTTAAATATGAACGTATTCAGAAATAGCGTTTAAGTCGGAAAAGACCAAGCGGGATTCGACGGACCCTGGGAAAAGTCAAGTCAGAACTGCAGGGAAATGTTTACATTAATTGTGTCTACACTGTTATTAATAAATTTTAAAAAATCATATTTTTATAAAGATTTTCCTCAAGTCGCACCTTTAGAGGTTGTCATTGAGCTAAAAAGCCCTCTTTCTAGAACTAAAATATTACTTAATTGGTAGGGGCGACGGTGGCCGCAACGGGTTAGGCGTTGACAAGGCGCTTATCACTGTAAGGTAAAGGTCCCGGGTTCGAATCCAGCGATCCTGCATTCGAATTCGACATATTTACAAATGGGCTTTTTTTCAAAACACACCGGCACCCCGAGGGTTTATATGACCTCTGCTGTTGCGAACCCTCGTAAAAAAACAAAAAACAAATAGTTAATTGGTATTTTTATTAAATCATTTATTGAAAAAAATAGGATCATATAACCCGATTAACGTGTAAATTTAAATATTGAACGTGTTCAAAAAGGGCCTTAAATTAATTGAATTTTCCAAAACGATTTTGTTATACAATAAATCGAACTAGGAACAATTATATATATATAAATATAAAAATGCCTTAACTTTGGAAAGATGAACGGAGGGTCGACGGACTCTGCGAGAATTTAAGCTAAGTCCGCCCTGAAAAACTTTGATTATTTTTGCCTGTTAAAACTAAAATGACAAATCAATCATATTTTATAAATGCTTAAGAATTTTTTTTATTTGCCGATTGTGTATTTGTTGTTTTTATTTTTTCTTATCAATTAATAAAATTAATTAGTAGGTATTTCTGTGCATTCCCAGAAACTTTTTATTACACAATTTATCATAGCAACAAATATCAAGATTAATTCTTTATTTTAATGAATTGTTCAAAATGAATTTAAAATGCGAGAAGTACAAGCGTAGCAATAGTTACTGCTCAGAAATCATTTAAATGAATTATTTGTGCCACTAAAACGTAGGGTATTTTACAAAACAAAATGTTATATGAAATCATTTCGATTGTGATAAAATAAAGTTTATTTCCATAAATTTTACTGTCTTGTATTAATTTTAGAACTTCTCAATGTAGCTTTATATTTATCAATAATGAATCGCGATATGGGCTGGTTGAAAAAAATAGTTATCAGCCAAGGTTTCGACCTATTTTAAGGTCATTATCAGGTTATTATCAGCAAAACAATATTAAAGATGTCTAGCAATTTGTAGACATCTTTAAAATTGCTTTCAGCTGTATGCTTCTTTTAAACTACCAACATAAATATGAGGACCAATAAAGAATCGGTATAAAAGAAATTATATTCTTGTTTACTGTTATAACTGGATAGAAATTTAATTTATGTATAAATTAACAACAAATTAAATATTTTACTTGATGTTTAGTTTTCATTATTTTTATTATTTTCTGTTCAATAGGGCATATAACTTAAAATCGCCAAAATAATTAGGGCAATTATTAATTATTTAGAAAACATTTATATACGGTAAATTATTTTATCTAGACGTTAAAAGTTAAAGACCTTCAATTGTACTTTTACTCAATGAATTATGTCCAGTGCAAAAAAGTGATCTTTTGAAAAAAATAGATATTACATCACTTTTCGTTAATTGCGGTTGTAAATTTGATTTTTCGATAGCTTCGCGGTTTTATAAAAGTTAATAACCAAAATGCGTTCCGACTTTTAAGATTTTAACTTCTATCGGCACCGGTCAGTAAAAGTGAAAGATAAATACAGCCGCAGGAAGGACGAATGGAAGAATCTGGCTATGACCTAAAGGCCACGCGATTCGCGAAGAATTCTGAAAGCGAAATGGAAAAAAAAACCCACCGAGCTTCGGCCAAAACATTTTACATTCTCCAACATATAAAAATGACGACTAAATAAATAAATTGGTAAGATATAAGAAAATTCGGTGGAAGAAAAATAGTTCAACAAAAACATGGATAAAAACATTTTAAAAAAATTGTCTCGTTATTTCAATAGTCAATTTGAATTTTCGTGATGCTCAAATTGAGAATTTTAACCACTCTGAATTTATTTTCTTTGAGCATTAAGCGTAAACAAACTAAAACAAAGATTTATAGTACATTAGCAGAATTAATTATCATTGGAATTACACAAAAAATTAATTAAATCATTAAAAAATAACTCACATAGAGTGTTAGAAATATTTTTAATATTTCTAATTTTATATTAAATTATTCAGCTTAAGATTTATATCAAATTATTAGTAAAGTATTCATAGTAAAGATTTATAGTACTCAGTGTTAAAAGATTCATTAACAGAATTAATTATCATTGTAATTACACAAAAGTTAATTAAATCATTAAAAAATAACTCAAATAGAGTGATAGAAATATTTTAAATTTCAATAATTTAAAATAAAAAAAAGGAAAATATATAGACCTGGATAAAATCTGTCTACCAGAGGTCGTCGCGATAGAAAATAAATAGAAGTATTGAAATTCAAGATAAGAAAAATAATGAAAATTAATATATTACCCTTAAAAATTAATTTCGAAAATCTGTTATAAGCATTATGAACCAAGTGAAAATTTCGAAGGGAAAAGTTAGTAAGAGAACATCCAAGTGGCTAAGAAGGGGAGGTAAAATAATTAAAATACGTTAATAAATAATAAAGAAATTGTGAGGAGGTTAATACAAATAAAAAAAAGAATAATAAGAATTTAAATATAAAAATTGAATTGCTCTAACAATTATTTGTACCCTCAATTGTAGCCGTGCCGAGCAAATAATTAATTAAAGAACATTTTGGCAAGTAAAAATAAAAGAGGAATTTAGCCCAAGATGACGAATAGGCTTGACGTTTAATTTTTAATTTTTTTTAAATTAACATTAATTAGTACACAGTTTGGTGGTAGTCAGGGCTAATGTCTGCCTAATCTTAACATCTTGATTATGGATACTTAATTGATTTTAGGTGTGATTCGGTCATAGGTGTCAGGTCATATATATANGATGTTTTTAAGTGAACCCGTACTTCTAAAAACTATTCTAAAACCTTCTTGTTTAAAAATTTTACTAACTTTTTCCGATAATTCGCCTATGTATGGCAAACAACGGAAACCTACTGATTCATTTGTGGGGGAACGTCGCGCTGTAGGTATCAGCGAGTTCACTTTGGCAATTCATGTCGAGAGACGTGGTTGTAGAAGTCCTTCAACCTGATGATGAGCTAAAATGCTCGAAATCCGGTCGTTGCAAAACAACTCACCGTGAGTAGGAACTATCTTTTTGAAAAGGATCTCTTGGATTTGTTTACAAACCCCAAGATTTTGGACCATTTTATCTCGGGGGGTGATTTGGTAATGTCCGCCCCTTTAAAGATTTCAAATCTGGACCTAGCATACTTATCACACTCTGCGAGGTAGTGCCTTACCGTTTCTTCTTTGTTTTGCAAAAACGGCAAAAGGGATCTGGTAGAATACCACATGCGTCATAGGTGTTTACAACAGTTTGACCCTTTTGATATTTGATTTACCAACCTTTGTTTCCTTTATCAAGGTGGCAGGTGTTTGGATGAACTCCTTTTCCGCTCTCCTGGTACTCCGACTAGTCGAAGAAAAGAGCACCTTTGTGGCCCTTATGCTTGTTAGCTGTCCATAAAGTACCAGACTAGTTCATAAATTGTTAATAAGTTGTTGTTAAGCACTATCCTGAACTCTTAATCCCGGGCTGGTTACTCCTTGTTCCTTTATTTATTAAAATATTGTATATACTGTCTTTATTATAAAATGTATTTAGAAGGATTAACCAGCAAAGAAGAGAACTTTAAGATAAATAAAAAAAAATTCCCTGCCTTCATTGGGCCTGATGTTTTACGGTAAGTCCGAAGGAAGCCGTTAAGTACCGACCCTAAGATCCCCTAAATTTTCAAAACATTTAAAGTAATGTTATGGGCGTGGTCCGCTGGTATTGGATCTCCCTTAGGTACGACGGGGAGGTGGATGGGAATTTTAACATAAAGGTGTTTAGATGAGTCGTTGTTCCTTTTTGTTTTCTTCCTTTTTTGGGTTTATAGAGATATATTTCTATATAAAATGTATCCTTAAAATCGACTTGCCTTTCGCACACGTCTCCTTCTTTTAAACCCAGAGAAAGTTAAATTAAAGTTGAAAAAATAAGGATAATTGATAGTTTACTACCCACTGAATCCCAGTGAAGAAAAATGTGGAAATGTGGTTGAAAATATTCAAAAAGGAAAAACTCAAAGAGCTCATGTCAGCTCCTGTCACAGTAAATAAAACCCCCAAAAAACACTCTTTTAAATTAATCCATTTATGTTTAGTGGTCTAATTGGTCATGTTATTATTTCAATTAATTATTCTTTTTATGTAAGGTCTTGGTCGAGATGAAAAAAGTTAACGTAACGAGCGGTATTCGAACCCACGACCTTCGGCTCAATCCCGCCCCTGCTCTAATCACTTGAGCCATCGTGACTTCTATCTTGAAGTACTGAGCCGAAGGTCGTGGGTTCGAATCCCGCTCGTGAGGCTAACTTTTTCATCAGCACCAAGACCTTACATAAAAGAATAATTAATTGAAACTCTTTTAAATGCGCACAAACTCCTACACCCACAATTTTGATAATAGTGAATTCCATTTACCCAACTTTGTATTATATTGTATTATAATCTGCCAGCATAATTAATTAGAAACAACATTACACAGTTATATATGCAAGTGTAATGAGTTTTCCTCTCTTATTGATTTCAAGTCATTACTTTTTAAAAAAATTCCGTGCACCCAACGAATTTCGTTTTTTCCAACGTTAGTTAAATATTAACGTAAATAAGAGTAGAAAAAATTAAAATTAATATAATTTCCGAAAATTCATGCTGTCTAAAGACCAAGGTGAAGAAATATTTTTTCAAGTCAATGACAATTTTAACGTGATAACAAAATTAACGAAAAATTGTCGAGAAAAATCATTGATTAATTTTTATCAGAAGGAATACTGTATAACTTCACTAGTTTCGTGGTCCGCTTGACCAATTAAAATCTTACAATTAATTAAGGTTTTCAGTTAAGATAAAAAAGTCAATGGCACGAGCGGGATTCGAACCCACGATCTTCGGCTTGATACGCCGCTGCTCTACCACTTGAGCTAAACGTGACCTCGACCACTCGGACACCAACCTCCCACCTCAACCAAAAAATTAAATTCAAAAGGTGCGGTTGAAATGGGACGTTAGTGTCCGAGTGGATCGAGGTCACGATAGCTCAAGTGGTAGAGCAGCGGCGTATCAAGCCGAAGATCGTGGTTCGAATCCCGCTCGTGCCATTTACTTTTTTATCTCAACTGAAAACCTTAATTAATTGTAAGATACTGTATAACATTTACCCTTTAGTCATTTTTAATTGTCGAAAGAAAAAAGCTCACTTTCTTCGTCAAGCGTTCGAGCAAGCCCTTCATCTGTATTTTGAAATATCTTCAATTCACATGGTTAGCAAATATAAACGTCTACTTCCAAAATTATGGTTTTGAGCATAATGAATTTATGAGTTTAGTAATGTGGATCATATTTACCACCCGTAATTGTAGAACAATTATCATAGGCTGATACCAATCACATCAATGATCATTTTTACTTAATAATGTTCGTAGGAGAGTCTACAAATGATAGCTGGCTGAAATTGTTTGAGTATGCAGGAAACAGAAAATGTTTGTTTATTTGTTAACTGTCAAGTTTTTTACCCATTTTACGGCCATAATAACGGAAAAACTATCTTAAAGAGCTACAAATTGACATAATTACGTTTTTAATAGAGAGTTTCAAATTGATTTGAAGACAGACTCGGCCCCCACAATGCCAAGGACTGTAACACCACTGATAGCTGTGCAATTTACTGTCCTTGTTGGGCCTGAGTCTGCCTTCGAAGAAATTTGAAACTGTATTAAAAACTTAATTATGTACATTTGTAGACATCTTTAAGATTGCTTTGCCCTGATGATGTCCTTAAAATAGGTGGAAAGCTTGGCAGATAACAATTGAATTTGCTTTTTCATCCGGATCAAACCGAGATCCAATTATTAGAGAAATTGAGACGGTGTTTGTAACAGAGTTTGTAACAATTCTGGTCCGCCTATTCTCGTTGCGCCTTTCAAACATGCTCGCTTTTTCAGCATTTTGCAATCTAATGAGTACAGCCCACGTATAAAATAGAAGGCGTATAATAAAAATCAAAAGGTTTCATAAAAACAAATTAAAATATATAAAAAACGCAAAAAATTAAACAAACTCCTTATTTTTTAATTAGGTCGTTAACGATCATTTTGTTCTGTCTAACCTCGCTGGGTTGCCCTATAAGACGCGTTTCGGCATTTCACAATCTTAACCGTGTCTGTGGAGATTAATTAAACAAAGCATAATCAACCATGTTCCTAGCGTTGCACATACACATATACATGTATGTATTTTTAGAAATTAAATTGATAATTTTTGTTGTATAAAGTGCTATGACGTAGGGGGGAGGAGGTTGGGCCAATATGCTCTAAAAGCACGAAATAGATAAATTTTTCATGAAACACAGACATTTTTTCACCAACCATCTAAAAATAAAATTAAAAACCATGGAACATACTCATATAACAATATATTTATATAAAATACGTCTTATTTATGTTTGAATACTTTAATAGCGATGCTGACAGAGACAAGCCGGAAGCTGAGCCAAGCTGGCTGCGAAAAGGTGCTGATGGTCCTGGGAAGGGATAAATACGATCCTGAAACTGAGTGCAAAGGTTGTTTGAATTTCAACGGGATTTTCTCGCCCAGCCCCAAAATTGCTGTCTGGAGCACGATCGACGAAGCTGCGAAACAGAAGAAGAAAAAAAAGGCGGCAGCGCCGACCAAAAAATCCATAAGCCAATCAGGTAAAATCAAGCTTTCATTATAAGAAAAATCTCTTATTTTAAAATCTTACAATACTTTAGCAAAAAATAAATTATTATCACAATTGAAAAATTAAACCGTATTGATTAACAATATATATTGACAATTTTTTTTCAAACTTTATTAAGAGTTGTTCAACTACAAAATTCTCATTAAATTCGCCTGGTGGGAAGGCACACTTATTTCTGTTCATGAACCTTGAATTAGAAACCTCATTTTGCTCCCGTTAACTTTCTTTTTCTTTTTTTTTTAATTTTATCTTTAGACCGCTTGTTTTCATTGCATTTATTTTTCTGTTATTTCGCTTATTTTGGATGGTTTTATTTAGACGGTGAGAACAAAACCAGAGTTAAATAAGAGTAGGCACTTTCAAAGGGATTTTATATTCGTTCAATAAATAGCAGAAAGCACAATGACTCTTTATAAACACGAACTCTGTATACACACACACATTTATATATATATNCCTCCATTGAGCTTTACTTCATATTAAAAAATAATATGGATGGTAATTTCTCCTCACTGCATAACCTACTAATATTGTCATCATTGAAAATATGCTGTAGGTGTTTTCCTAGATATTGGTGACCAGGTAATCACTACCCTTTATAGTGTGGCGGATGCCGAAATGGCAAAGAAAAAAAAAAAAATCACTACCCTTTGTTTTACCCTCTCTAGCTGTAGCAACGTGTTTGCCAGTATTGGTGAGGGTTATTTAGTCTAAGTTTTTTTTTATTTTTTATTTTTTTTTTTATTGGCCTTATGATCTTGCATATTAGCCATAGTACGAATTCTTGTGTGTTCAAATTGGGGGTTATCGGGAAAAAAGGGCCAGAGGCGACGGTGGGAATCGAACCCACGACCGCGGCGTGAGAGTCTCTCATGCTAACCACTCGGCTACCGCGGTTATAAAAATGAAAAATAGATTGTTCTTAAAAAGAGATTTATAGGATTTAGAGAGGAATTTTTGGAAGAAAATAAATTACAAACATTAACTATCATTTTTTTGTCTTACAGTTACTACATAATCAGGTTGTTGAAGAAATAATTATAATTATTAATTTTGAACTCGGTTCGTTTCTTTCATTTGAAAACAACCAACCATGGTCTATGGTTAGGCACCTTGTGAATTATTAAACGCTGAAATAAAAACAATACCGTGTTTTGAAAATACGAAAATACCAGAGGCCCCACACCCAATGCAGTTATAATTATTCCGTTCAAGAAGTCGACCTTTGTGAGATAAAATGTTGTTGAAAAACATTTCATTCCTTTACTTTTTTTTCTGATCGATTCAACCCTGAAGAATTACAAAAAAACTTACTTGCAAGCCAGGAAGCTAAAATTTATTTTTAAACCAGCCAGGCCGTTATAACTACACTATTTAGAGACCATAGACAACGGGTTTTAAGCTTTTATCCAGCTCGTGGGTAGTAAATTATAAAATTCCTCGGGCGGAATTTTTCGAATTATTTTAACACGAATAAAATGCAAACATTCATTGTTGTGAACAATGAATGTTGTGAGTGACATTGTCAATTAGTTTTAGGTAGTTTAGAAATAATTATATATAATTCCAAGTTCAACAGTAACGTACTCCATGCAATGGATGTTTTATACAATTTATTTCCGTTTTCTCTTGATGGATGATACGAAACTTCATAGAATTGCTTGGTGTCAGTGATAATATGTTATTCATATAGTAATTCTTGATTGAAAAATAGACAATATATAATCTTAAATAACGTTATTATAGCCCTAATTCATGTAAAACGACGCAAACTAGTATATTTCTTATATACCTCTACTTCCTATATTTCTATAAATGTAGATTTTGCGGCCTTTTCCTGTAAAGATTTATTATCTAGGGATGTAAAGCACTTTCTTATTTTTGATTTATATGCTTGACTCAGTTTTTCTATGCTGAATTTATAAATGATGTCAGCCTTATACCCCCTATAAAGAATGGGATAATCTCGCATATAATTTTTTCTCTTCCTTACCTCCGTCCTTAGGGTTGACGTTTTAACATTAAAACAAGACCCTGATAAGACATACATGAAAAACGAGCGATGACCGGGTTACGTGGAAATATCCGAAGGTGAGCTGGTTACACTGCTTACACGCACCGACTTCCGAGTAATTTCGGACGATGCTTCCTGTTTTTATAATCAGAGGAGATAAAAAGCCTTCGCATCATTGAAAACATTTTTCTAAGAAAAGACATTGTTCCAGGTTTTTAGAATTTATTACATCCCGGACTTGAATCCCAAGTTATATAGGATGTTATTTTGTTATCGGCCAACTTTGATACACTCTAGATTTGAGGATTTATTGGGTATGAGATCCTTGAATTAATACAATGTTAATGATACATATGCCAAGTTTTCGACTCTATTTTTGGCATATCTCAGGGCAATGTACGTAGTTATCAATAAAAATAACAATGTAAGAAACATTGACAGTCAAAGATTTATATTTTTTTATAGCACTTCTCTACACCTTTTAGACGTGACATTTAAACATTGAGTAGACAGGTGTTTAAAAGAAATAAATCTTTGACTGTCAATGTTTTATACATTGTTATTTTTAGCCGAAAGCTTGGCACATGTATAATACAGTGTATTAATTCAATGACCAAATACCCAATAAATTATCAAATCCAAGTTATATAGGACCTTTTATCTCAACTAAAAACCTTCATTAATTGAAAGATATTAATTGGTCAAGCGGACCACGAAAACTAGTGAATTTAATAAGTTAAAATGAAGTATACTTCACTCAACTAAAAACCTTAATAAATTGTAATAGTTAGATTGTTTATGTCTATGATTTTTCTTATTACATTTATGAGTTCTTTGAGTCTGCGTACTATGATTATGCCTAAAAACTGATTGATATCAATTTAATAGTGATAATTAGTGGTTAAGAATTTATCCATTTGTTTATATATATAATTTTATCAAAAATTTTAGCCAAAATCGAAATAATACGAAACTTCGCCAGCTGGGTATTTTTTTGGAGAGAGAGAGAGAGAGAGAGAGAGAGAGAGAGAGAGAGAGAGAGAGAGANAAAAAAAAAAAGAGAGAGAGAGAGAGAGAGAAAGACAAGAAAGAATAATATATTTACTTTTATTGTATAATTATAAAGAAATATATCCTTATATTGATCAAAAATGTTTTATATTTTGTGAAATATGGACTGGTTTTTTGGTTGTTTTTCTTATCATATTTATGATTTTTCGAGGGGTGGCAACCTTTTTTTGGCCTTTTTTAAATGGGAAACCTTTTGTTTAAATATATTTCTACTCGATAGGGATTTTGCTTTTGATAGGGATTTTGACAATGTTGAGCAATAAACGTTCATCACCAGATTGAAAGGTAAATTCCTAACGTCTCCAGTCAATTCAATCGAGCATTCTCCCTCAAATTATAAATGTTCTCTTTTTATGTTTCAAATTACTCTATTCATAACGACCTACACGTCCTCTTTGTACACGAACTCATCAAAAATTAGTACGACAGTTATCGCTTCTAACCCTACCAAAAAATCCTTCTAGACGATTGAGTCTACAAGTTTAAAATGACCAATTTTGACAAGTTCAAACATATATGGACATATGTACTTAACACAATATTTGTAGTTTTAAATATCAAATAAATGTAATAAAAAAATAATGATTAACTTGTATATCATATATTATTTAGATACGTGTTTAAAATGGGAGGTAAATCAAAATGTATTGAATTATTTATGCATTTATCTCCATGTTTAATTTTACATTTTGTATTTCAAATTAATCAATCTCGTTTCCTGCCTCTGTTGAAACAGTGTAAAACTGTTGTGTTTAAATTGAAATTGAAATTGCGTTTTTTTCGTGTAGATGGTCCTTAACGGATCCTTAATTCATAAAATTTATTCATTTTAGGCTAGTGTTCTTTAACTCTTGTTTTAATTTGAGCTATATATTTTATATCGCTAAAATTCGAGGGGAGTTGTTGTTCCTGAATTTCGGGCCTTGGGTTGGGGGTACTCCTGCCACTTCAGTGTGCTCTCTATGCAACTCAGGTGATCGTGAGGATGCATTTCATTTTCTCGCTAGATGCTCGGTCCTGAACGAATTAAGGTATCTGTATACGTTATTATAGCCCTAATT